CTTGAACTGTTTAGGAGGGCCCCAGGCAGTGGAGCCATGACCTGTCCTTGATGCATGGGCTGACTTTTTAGAGCCTGGGGCCTATGCTGAGACACTTTGTTCATCTTGGTGTAGGGAGGAGGAGACTGGACCTGCCTTGGCTGAGTCTGCCAGGCTGGTCTGACTCCCCAGGGGAGACCTTGACTCGGAGGGGGTGGGAGTGGGGAGAGGGCTGGGGGGTGGGAGGAGGGAGGATGGGGGAATTCGTGGCTGATATGTGAAATTAAGTTAATTATAAAATAAAAATACTATAAAAATTCACTATCAATGAGTATACCCAGTTGGGTAACACAAAAATAAAATGATATTTTATTTTGATACTCAAGAAAATCTCTTAACATTTTGGGCCCCATTGCAGTTTAATACCAAGATATCTTGTAGCAAGATGCCTGAGAAAGAAGTACATGAGTATTTGCAGCCTGTTATCTATCGTGGTGAGGATGTTTATACCCAAGTTGCCAACTAATGAGATCAGATAGATGATGAAGGACAGTCTGAGCAATGGTGCCTGCAGCTGGTCCATGGTGCCTCTCAGGATTGAACTGTCACTACTGTGAGGTTGTGGGCCTCCATTCTATCTCATCAGAAAACCTGCTCTAAATAGATGTACCAGTTTCATAAGCAGTTTCCAAATATATAGGATGACTTTATTTTTATTTTGGAAACCAATATAGATGATATATCTCTAATGAAATAAAAAAGACATACATATATAACCTCATTACTGTGTTACTTTTGATAATTTCCTTTGCCAAAAGTAACATATACTGTCACCTTCATGTCATGATTATAGTAAAACTATGACATGGGAATATGACCATTTGTCAAATACATAAACATATATAGCTCCAAAAAGCTGATAAACCTTGCTGGACAGACTCATATGGAGATGTAAATGTATTACAGATGTGAAAAGCAAGATAAATCTTAGAAATTGTAGAACATTTGAGTTACACATATTGGGGTAAAAATTATTATTTTTTATTTTTGTGTCTTGTATGATTAAAGTTACCTTTAGATATTTACAAATTATATGATATTTTGCTATACTACATAAGATTCACACCAATTACAATACAGACACCTACTGAGGGTTTTCGATAATTTAGACAACTTCAGTTACATGTGTAGATATGTAGAATCCTAACACCTACAGATAAGACAGCTAGAGTCATAAAACATAGTCAATGTATTTTTATATGTATTAATAAGAAAATTGTAGCACATCACACTTGGGCTTCTCTTTATTTGAAGAAATAAAATAGCATGTGATCTATCTTAGCCATCTCTTGCACCTTGACCTAGTGTATAGAAAGAAATGTTTATTTGGAAAAACAATTTTGGATGAATAAAATATTTTTTCAGTGTAAATGAAAATAGGAGGACTTTGTATTGCTTATTCAAAAGATGAAGAGAGACAAAATGTTTTAGGAATTCTATGCTGTGTGGTCACAATTTGCAAACATGATGATCACAGGGACTTCAAAACAGTCACTGGTTATAATAACTCACTTGAAAAAATGTTTGCTGTACATGGATGTGTACAACCAACAGGATGAAGGCTTATATATTTTGATGAATCTAAAAAGATGAGAAAATGAGACACTGGTCATGAAATGCTTGAGATACAGGCTATCCCAGTATCAACCTTTATTACCCAATGGTAAATTTTAATACTTCTCTTATTTAGGATTATATATCTCTGTCCATTCTTAACTTAATGAAATTTTGATATAAATTTCCTTCATCATATAATTTAATCTTTCACTGCCATGAATTTTTATTATAATTTAGACATACAATTATACTACAAATTAGACACTTGTTTTAGCTCATAAATATTCTAGGAAAATATGAGACAATTAAAAATATTAAGGGAAACATAGTTTCTTAAAATTGTTGTAAAATGGCATTTGCAATGATTCTTGGGTGTGACAGAAAACTGTTGTGGAATGTTAGTTTAAGATATTTCTTTGGATATCATTCTGTATAAATAAAACACTGATTGGCCAGTGGCCAGGCAGGAAGTATAGGCGGGACAAGGAGAGAAGAGAATTCTGCGAAGTGGGAGGCTGAGTGAGGGAGACACTGCCAGCTGCTGCCATGATAAGCAGCTTGTGAAGATGCTGGTAAGCCATGAGCCATGTGGCAAGGTACAGATTTATAGAAATGGGTTAATTTAAGATATAAGAACAGTTAGCAAGAAGCCTGCCATGGCCATACAGTTTGTAAATAATATAAGAGTCTATGTGTTTATTTTATAAGTGGGCTGTTGGACTGCCGGGGCTTGGCAGGGCCTGGAGAGAAAACTCCAGCTACAAGATATATTACATTTGTTCATGCTGTGGAATATTTGTTTAATGATGCAAAGATTGGCTGCATTGTTTTATGTTGCATTTGTTTAACTAAGTAAAGCTGTTACTTTGCCTGCCTAAAACACCTGATTGGTCTAATAATGAACCGAATGGGCAATACCTAGGCAGGAGAGGGATAGGTGGGCTGTCAAGAACAAATAGGAGAACTCTAGGCTAAAAAAGAAAGGGGTAGAGCTAGAAAAGGAGAAGGAAAGGAGGATGCTAAGGGCCAGCCAGGGCTCAACCACACAGCCAGCCACAGAGTAAGAAGCAAAGAAAAATATATAGTATAAATAAAGGTAAAAGCCTAGAGGCAAAATGTAGTTAAAGAGAAAAAGGATAATTTAAGTTAGAAAAGCTGGCTAGAAACAAGCCAAACATTCATAAGTAAGAAAATTCTCCATGTATTTCTTTGTCTTTGAGAAAGCATTGATTTTGATTACTAGTCAGTACTCTAAGTAAATCAGAATTTGATAAAATATGTGACTTGCACACCACAGTCAAAACCCACATGTATTAAATAAAATGTTTAAGGCAAAATAGCACAGTTAATCCTGAAATTTTAAATTCCAGTCCCCTCCCCAAATCCTTCAGCTATTCTATAGTTAACTCTTACCCAAGGAATAGCACATTCAAGTTTGAATATGCAATGAATGCCCCCAATTCACCTTGTTTATATCCACTTAACCATCAGTGATAAAACCCATAGGAAATGCCCCAGAGGGATTATGTCTTATTTATCTTCTGGTTAGAAATTAGCAAAATTGAAATTAATGAATGATGGGGAAAGAACACAACCAAATAAACACACAACAATACTTCTGGAGTAAAGCTTCTTCTGCTGCTCTTGAAGGACAGAAAAATATTTTGAGCACTATTTAAAACACATTAGCTCCTATTGTCAAGAGTATTTGTGATGTTGAACTGCTTTTCACACATGATTTGGAGGTTTTCTTTGAGACAACATAGTATTCAAACCAATTGGCTAGTTTTTTAAATTAAGTATCATTTTAAGTTTTGTTTTGTTTTGTTTTGTTTTTTTGGTTTTTTTCGAGACAGGGTTTCTCTGTGTAGCTTTGCGCCTTTCCTGGAGCTCACTTGGTAGCCCAGGCTGGCCTCGAACTCACAGAGATCCGCCTGGCTCTGCCTCCCGAGTGCTGGGATTAAAGGCATGCACAACATTTTAAGTTTTAATATCTAATTAGATGCTGTTTATCTGAATTTTGTATTATATATTTGGTTGGTAGAGTCAGAGATGTTGTAGTCAGAGATGTTGTATATCAAACAATGCCCAAGATCCAGGAATGACAAAGTTTGATTTTTTATATGGATTATAAGCATTATATTTTCATAGTTTTTATTATCAGCTTGGTGATAATTTTCATTGCTGCACACACTTTTAAAGTATATTTTGTAAGTTCTGGGGAATAAAGGATTTTAGTTACAATAAAATTATTTTTCAAGAAAAGAATAGTTTATATAAAGATGACTATTTAATTTTTAAAAATATTTTTATTTTATAATTAATTTAATTTTACATAATAATATTGTATTAGCTTGGCTTTGGTGTCAAATCCACAAAAGTATTTTCAAGCAAAACTTAAGATAATGCTTTATGAAGGATTCTGGGCTTTGTTTCTATTTTTAAGTCATTGGATGTAGCCCTGATTGACCTCAGCCTAGCTATACAGTCAGGGACATTGTGCAGTCCTCTTGACTCCACATCCCAAATAATTATAGGGGTGGCATTTCTTCCAGTAATCAAAACAGTATATATCTTACAAGTAATGTACTTTCCATGTAAAAAGAAGACATTAAATCATTCAGTAAAGAGAAATGGGAAGTAAGAAATTAAGATTAGTTCAGTAATAAAACAAAGGGGATAAAAGCTGCCATAGAAAATTCAAGACAACTAACATAATCACACACACACGCACACGCACACGCTCGCACACACACACACACACACACACACACACACACACATACACACATACACATGTATGCTCAGACTTACACACTATTAGATGATACATTTAATTTATAAACTATTTAATCATTAATATATGACATCCATTATTTCTATTGTAATTGTATGGGAGGCAATGTAAAAAGAAAAGTGATGTGAAATCAGGACATGAGTCCCTTTGGAAAGAAAGCCTCTGTGTGATCTCATTTACTGGTATCTTAATATCAAAGTGATAAATCTTGCTTTTCTAACATGGTGATCAAGATTCTTTAAGTGTTTATAGAAATATATATGAATATCAAATGTATGCAAATATTAACAATGCAGGTAACACAAATAATTAGTTAGATATACATGAATACCAAACAATTTATTGTAAAGTTCAACTCACAAAATTAATTTCAATCCTCAGAGACACCTGTCTCTCTCTTCAGTCACATATAGCAAACACATTGCTCCCTTGTTTAGACTTATACACTTTAAAAGAATTCTTATGTGCTACCTCATTTCTTCAATTGTTTTGTTTATAATCTGTCTCCTTTTCAGAGAAGGATTGACTTTTACTGTTTTCTTCTCTGATGCTTATAAACCATTTAAATGTATTTGTGGTGAAGTATGACATCTTACAACATGTGTTTTTAGGAGAAGATATTTTGTATTCTTTTTCTTGTCTTTTTAAGGGCTTGTTTTACATCTTTGTTCCTCAAGCTGTAGATCAAGGGATTCAACATAGGGATAATTAGGGTATAAAAGATGGAAGCCACTTTGTCAGTGTTGAAGGAGTGACTGGACTTAGGTTGCACATACATAAATATCAAAGTCCCATAGAAGACAGTGACCACTGTCAGGTGGGACCCACAGGTGGAGAAAGCCTTGCATCTGCCCTCAGCTGAGTTCATCCTGAGGATAGCTCTGAGAATGAGCAGATAGGATGCAAGGATGATAAGTGGAGAAGAAATCAAGTCAATAATTGATAAGATTAAAATTATCATTTCATTTTCCTCCTTATTTGAGCAGAGCAGAGATATCAATGGGAGACTATCACAGTAGAAATGACTGATAACATTGTGTCCACAGAAGGAGGAAGAGAAAATATTTATGGTGACCATGAGAGCAACAAATACACTGTAAATGTATGCGATTGCCACCAGGACCCAACATACTTTTTGTGACATAATGACATTGTAGAGGAGTGGTTTGCAGATAGCTACATATCGGTCATAAGACATTGCAGAAAGAATAAAAAATTCACTAACAATGAACATACTAAAGAAAGACAACTGAGTAGCACAAAAATAAAATGATATTATATTTTTATCTACAATAAAATTTCTTAACATTTTGGGTCCCACAGCAGTTGAATAACCAAGATCAGTGATAGCAAGGTGTCTGAGAAAGAAGTACATGGGTGTTTGCAGCTGGGAATCCACCATGGTAAGGATGATCATGCCCAAGTTGCCAACCAGTGTGATAAAATAGATGATGAGGAACAGTCCAAATAATGGTGCTTGCAGCTCAGGGTGGTCAGTGATGCCCATCAGGATGAACTCAGTCACCACAGTAAAGTTGTGGGTCTCCATCAGGGTTTATTGCAAAATCTGTTCTGAGTAGAGATCAATAGTTTTCAAATATCATCTTGTGAGTTTTTATTATTCAAATAAGCTTTAATGAAATATCTCCAAACATTTGAATTCATTTTTGAAAGTAATTCTATTTAAAAGGGTGTACATATAGTCTTATACTTGTCTATACACGCATATTCAAACATATGGCTTGCAACAAACAAAAAAACACATTTCTGAATCTTTGCTTCTCTACCAGTTAATGTTTTAATCAGAGAAGAACACAAATATGTTTGCCAAGGTACATGCTTTCCCCAACTGTGATGAAAACCATTCCCTTGATATAATATTAGACATTAGTCAATCTAAAAAAAATCCTTCTACCTCATATATCTAGCCCAGGAATCATGCAACCTCAATACCTAATGCCATCAGGATCTGGGAATATAGGTATACAAACAGAAGTACATGTTTAAATGAATTCATATATAGGTATAGATGTGGAAAAATAAGATACAGTCTTTAAATTATAGATATTTGGATTTACACATACATTCATGAAATTTATTTTTCTTTTGCTTTAATTTCTGATGATTACTCATACACTGACATAATTATTATATACTTTTAATAATAGATAAGATGCATTCTAAAAATAGTACATATGTATTTTTTTTTTAAAAAAAAAAAAAACCTTACTAAATGCACATTGCTGGACAAGGTGGCTCATTTCTTTAATCTCAGTACTTAGGAGACAGAGGCAGGTAGATCTCTGGGAGTTCAAGGCCAGCCTGGTTTAGAAAGTGAGTTTCAGGATAGTGATAGTCAGGACTGTCTCAAGGCACCCTCTCTTGAAAAACGAAAAAAAGAAAACAAAACAAAAACAAAAGTCCACATAAATCTACTTTTATGTGTAGATCTACAGAATCTTAACAGGTAAAAGTAGAACATCTGAAGTTGTTATCATAACTCATATTGGTCAGAATCTATGAATACTGTTACACATCATGCTCATAACTGTCTTGATACTAAAAAGCATGTAGGTAAGAGTATCTTTGCCATTATCTTAAACAATACGTAGCATACACAAATATTCCTTTGGGAAAATAAGGTGAAATGTATAAAATACTTGGCATATATAAAATCAAGATGTCTCTGTATGGACTTTTGAAAGCTTGAAGTAGAAGTAAATGATCCATCAAGTCTACTCTTTGTCCATAGCAACAAAGATGATGAACATGGATTTCAACCAGTCACTGAACTCACTAACCTACCTGAAAGAGTTTTCCTTATAAATATATATCTACATCATTCAAGAAAGGATCTCATCTTCTTTCTTAGAACTGAAAAGATGAGCAAATGAAGAGCTGGTCACATAAATAGAGTGTACAAAAACTACCAGTCTGTAGCTTGAACATACAAGAGGAAATGTTCACTGCTTGTTATAATTTTCAATTAATACTTTATTCATTATCATGTTAATAAACTTATTAAGGATATATTATGTGAGAAAATAATTTATTTTTAATAAAGGAAAAATGAAGCATATGAAACTAAAAAGAAGAAAAAAGCAAAGAATATAAAATTAAATAGTCTCCTATATAAATTATTATTTTCTTGAAAGAACACTTTATCATAATACAATTCCTATGTTCCTTAGAGCCTACAAAAATATAAAGAAATCTGAAATAATAATAAGAGTGTTTATTTAAATTGCCTTATTCATGACCTCTCAATATCTCCCATTGATTAAGAGGTATCATATTACAATAGTATAATTTTTAGTAATAGAATTTCTAAATATGGCTTCCCAGTGTTGTGATAGATGTTTATTGCTTGATAATGGATTAAACTTTAACTGTGTTGTAGATACCACAGAACAAAACCAAAGCTCAGTTTGATGGCATTTGCATGGTTGCAAGTGAGGGACAGAAAATCTTTCTGTGTGGTTAGTTCACAGGACCATCTTCTAAATATGACAAAGGACACAATATGATAAATTTATATACTTCTTTATGATAAATTTATATACCCCAAGAAGGCTTGTATAAATATATCCAATGCATCAGAGAGAGGGAACCATTTATTGCTTTTGTAAAAATGTGTATGTGTCAATGTTTTCTGAGTAAAACCAGAAACAAAATGATTTACAATGGTAATCATAGTAGAAATTGTAGCCTGTGTCAAAATGGAACTGAAATACCCCAGATCTCACCGCTGTGTATACAGGTGATTGTATTTAATTTATCCTTCAATCATGTAGAAGGTTGTTTTAAAGTGTGGCTACATAATAATATTCCATTCTCAATATATACACTTCGTACAGTAAACATGTAAAACTATCAGTTGTCGTGTAACTGTATTGGCTTGATTGGCAATGATACGAATGGAAAACCTTAAGTACACTGACTGTAAATTTTCTTATAGGTAAGGAAGTACAAAAAGGTTTTCCTCTAAATATAATTAGGATTTAGTGAAAAGAGAAACATATTTTATTATAGATTATTTTGTTCACAGATTACTTGAATGTTATTTTTCAAATCTATAAATTCAGGAAGGGTAGTAGTTTTTAGCAAAAAAATTGAAGTAATGGTGTTCATACTCTTTGTGAGATACAAACTACATTGCCCTCATTAAAGGGTCAGGAAATGGGTCAGAGAGCTGTCCCAGAAGTTAAACTGCTGAGTGCGGGGATGGGAGTGTGAGCCCGAGTATACAAGGATGGAAGAGGAAAACTAAATCAGGCATTATTCCTCTGATTTTTGCACATGTGCACTCACACATAATAAATGAATAAATAAATACTGTAAAATTTAATAGAATGAAAAGTAATCACAACTATGTATTTTGTCCATAAAAATTACTTGTTAAAGTTTCAGTTATTTAATTTAGTTTACCATAATGGGCTTTATTGTGGCATTTTCATACATATATGTCCAAACACATTGTTCTAATTTTTCTCTCTCCTTTCACTCTCTGTATAGTTGTTTTCTTTATCCTGGATGTTCTCCACTACTCTGGGTTAGAATAATTTTTTAGCTCATTAGGAAATCTCGGGTCAAATATAATTAAAGTTTGGAAAGACAACATAAATATAGACAATCCTTGTGTTCTTAAATTCTTTTTTTAAATAAAATTATTTTATTTATTATCTATCTCTTTTTTTCTAGGCCCTTCACTAGTTATAAAACTATTTGTATATGTAGCAGAGAGAAGAGAGAGTGAGAAAGAGACAGAGACAGAGAGAGACAGAGGAAGACAGAGAGACAGAGACACACATACAGAGGCTTTATAAGAAAAATATCTAAGAATATATTTTGTATGATTAAAAGATAGTTAATAGCATTTGTCCTCTCAACCTCAGGAAAAGTGTTCAAAAATAACCTGAAATAGAGAAATGAAGATCTTTTATTGCTAGCGAGCCATTGTGGAATATTAGAAAAAATAGACACGGAATCACAAAGGGGAACTTCTAGATGGTGAAAGAAGCCTAGCAGAGGATGCCCACTTCTCCTTATGCTGAAACTTCAGAGCTCTGTGTGACACTTTGTTACCTGTTGTGAAACTCTTGTCTTCATTTCCCACTGTGGCTCTCAGCATGGGCTTCTGAGATCTACTTATGTGTGTTTGTCAGCCATAGAGAATCTCCCTGAGGAGATGCCGAAATCTTATTAATTACCAGCTAACTTTCTGAGTGTCTAATGAGGTGATTTCCGAAGGTTATGAACTATAGGATCAATTTGTTTTCCACAATTAGTTATTTGTTGTATAAGCAAGCATTCCCATTTATACTTATCAAAAAGTATCAAGGCCAGGTTCTCAAAGGTAAATTTGTGTGCTCCTGTTTATTGTGACATAATATGCAACTTCCAGGATATAGAATATATAAAATATCCAATCATGATGAATAAAGAAGTAAAATCTTTTGTACAAAACAACAGAGTATTATTCAAGTTATACAAAACAATAGTGTATAAATCAAACTTAACAAAAGCAAAGGATGATAAGAGGGATGAATGTGGAGAACACCAGGCTGAATGAAATAATCCTAAATTATGCATCAATAAATACAGTAAGACACCAATTATATGAGTTGCATGAAAGCAGGATAGAGAAAATCCAATAAAAAGCTGAAGAAATCAACATTTTCATTTCAATTTTGAGTATATTTGAACAGACCAAAGATATCCAAGGAAGATTGTCACATTTGAAATGACTGATGACATTGTACACACAGAAAGACAAAGTGAAAATCTTCTTTCTTCTGTCTTTGCTTACATAAAACCAGCAACAGCAACCTCTCTGCTTTTCTAATGGTTTAAACTTTAGCTTAGACTTCCTTTTTTTTTCTTTTCTTTTT